TTTAAGCCTTTAGGAATTTTCATCTTTTAGGAATGTCAACATTTAGTTCTTTGTCTTTTGGGATTTTGGTCCAAAACTGATTCCTATAAATAAACACGTGAATGCATAAAATTACTTTCAAAAAATCTTTCAGGGAGCTTTCTAAACATTGTTTTTCTTGCACTGGTGTAGCTTGAGTATTTGTTTCCAGAGCATTAAACAGCAAGGGTCCAGGTTTAACAGTCAAATAGTCACTTTATGTTTAGGGATTTGGTGAAGTCAAGAGACAGTGTCTCCATCCCTGTTTTTTAGAAATCCAAGTCTAAAAGGAAGACCATGAAAATCTCTGCTATTTTAACATTTTTAGTAGGCCATTAAGTATGCTCTGCAAACAAAACACCGAAGTTTCCAGGAGAAGCAAGGCAAAGCTCAGGGACCTTACACCATGAGTCAGCCTCTTGAAGCCACCTTCTCAGTGCCACAGATGGAGGCTGATGAGTCTGTACCCAACAGAGATAGTGCAATGGGGGAAGTAGGTGTAGTTCTGGTCCAGACCTACTGGTATAGATCTGCACTTTGGCCAGTGGATATTCAATCCTATGTCACTCCCTTTGGTCTCCCAAGTCTGCTGGCTTCCAGGTTTGGAGTTTGTAAGGCAAACAATTGAATGCTTATGGCTATCAAATTACCATCAACATAAATCCTTTTCAAACTCTAGTCTACAGTATGTATTTTATTAAGGAGTGGTCACTGGAGGTGGAATAAAATCCAAGCTCACACCATGACCTGTGCGACCACATGTGCTTTACTTCCTGCCCACCTGCTCAAACCTATCTTCTATTATGTTTCTTCCATTCTTACCCATGTGTCCTACATCACTGGCCCTTATGCTCTTCAAATAGCTAAGCCATTTCTCATTCGGGGTCTTTGCTGTTGCTGTTTACTCTGCCTGGTACACTTTTCCAGTAAATTATATAATTAACTTTTCATCTTACTGCATGCATTATTTTTGAAACAATAATTTTGCTAGCTTTTTCAGGCAAATGTGGCTTTAATTCATTAAAACTTCCTGGAATTTCCTCAGATAGAAGAAATGCCAATGCAGACAAATGACAAATTCTAAAACCAAAGTTTTTGTCATTGACATAGGCAAGAAATGAATGGACAATCCCGTTCTCAGAGTTTGGCTTTCTATCCCTTTTTATGCAGCTCCCCCCCCCCCCCCCCCCCCCCCCCCCCCCACTTTTTTCCCCATGGAAATTATGGTCTTGGGGATTTGGGGCTTTCAGGATTTATCATTTGGGATTTTAATCTTTCAGGATTGGGATTTTTGGGATTTTAGTCTTTAGGGATTTTAGACTTTATAGATTTTGATCTTTCAGGATTTCAACATTTAGGATTATGGCATTTGGGATTCTATGTTTTGGCATTATGATTGGCACCAGCATGGATCGCTTATGGGACAACTGATCTTCAGGAACTAAGGGGAAAAATTGAAGTAGCTTGGGTTTGTTATATATAAATGTTGAAAGAATTCATTCATTCTTTCAGATTTTTTTAGCACTCTCTATGTATTAGGATCTGTACTAGATTCTGGGAATTTAACAGTAAATAAGATAAACTCTGTGCTAATAAGGAGTTTATACTCTAACAATAACAACATTCGATGCTTATATTCAATACCCAGCACATTGACTCTTTCAGTAGGGAAGCTGGACCAATAAAGAAGTTAACATACAAGAGATAATAATAATTGCTGTAAAGAAAAATAAAGAAGGGCATGGTACAGAAATGAATACAACCTGAACATGTTTATGTTCCAATCCTCAGATCCTGTGATATGTTATTTTATATGGCAAAAGGGACTTTGAAAATGTAATTGAGTTAAGGATATTCATGTAGACCTAATGTAATCAATCATAGGATATCAGAAGGAGAGAGAATGACCAAAGTCAAAAGTCAAAGAAAAAGAGAACTAAGGACAGAAACAAAGAGGGCAGAAGGTACCTAACAGGTGGCTTTGAAGATGGAGAAAGGGGCTATGAGCAAAGAAACACAGATGATCTCTAGAAGCTGGAAGGAGTGCATTCTCCCCTGGAGCCTCCAGAAGGAATGCCTCTTGGCTGACACCTTGATTTTACTCCAGTGAAGTTGATTTGGATTTCTGACCTCCAGGAATATAAGATAATATTATGTGTGTGATTTTTTTAAGCACTGAGTTTGTTGTAATCCATTTACAGCAGCAGAAAACCAATACACAGTGTTAGAGAAGGTAGATTATTGGGGTTACTCAGAAATGGCCTCTTGAGGAGGTGACATTAAGCAGAAAAGTGTGCAAAGTGGGGAGTAAGACATTTGGCTGGCTATGGGAGTGGGCAGGGGGAGCATTCTAGCCAACAGGAACAGCAAGAGATAATGCTCCAAGAAGGAAGTATGCTCAGTGTGTCTGAGTACCAGAATGAACAAGAGGAAGAAGTTAGTAGATACCTTAGGGAGGTAGATGGAGGCCAGATTATGTAGAACTTTGTAGCTTTGCTAAGCATTTTGATTATATTCCAAGAGTGATGAGAAGTCACTGGAAGGTTATAAGCAGGGAGTGACATGCTCTTGTCACTTTTAAAGACATGATACAAATGCTAAGTGGAAAATAGATTCTGAGCTGGAAGTATCAATACACCTGAGAGGTGCAGAACCATAGGCTAAGATGAGAGGAGGCTGAAAAGAGTATATATTGAAGATGAAGTGGACCAGATTTGCTAGTTGATTGGAAGTGAAATATAAGACAAAGTGGGAGATAAGAATGATATCAGAGAGTCTGATAACACTATTTGCTGATTCAAAATATTCTGGGACTATGACGAAAAATCATGAATTTTGTTTTAGATGCTATTGGATAAGTCAGTAGAGGTGTCAGTTTGGCAGTTGGACATAATATCTAGAGTTCAGGAGATTAAATTGGATGGATGCCATCTCTTTTGCAGCATAGGTAGTGTATAAAGCATGGAACTGACGTGTGTCAATCTTGAGCACAGGGCTCTGGGGCATTGCACTTTAGTTCCCTGGAAGAGGGCATCTCATCTATTGGGGAAAAAATGGAACATGGTCCTTATTACTTCCATATTTAAGACAATTCCATGCCAATGTTTTTGACTTCTGGCCTGACTGAAGCTTGAAAAATGGCAACTTGGCCCTGTGCAAAGGTCTTAAGAAGTAGTCATTGCCTTGGCCTATTTGCCCTGGCTCTCAGTGAGCTTTTAAAATGCCAGTGAGCTCTAATCCTGTTGATTGACCCACAGCTGTGAATACAAGATGCTGACTCCAGAAGTGCAACTCATTCTGGAAAGGGCACCATCCCTTTCCCACTAAGGACTGCTGAGAGAGCCACCTGAAGTCTGCATAGGCTTAGCAGCAGCTGCACTTCTACTCAATCAGATCAAACTGAAGTTCTTTTTTGCTTCCCGAGGAACCCTGGGTATTTGTTTTTAGAACACTGAACAGTAAGAATCCTCGCTTAACTGACACACAAGTGCTTTATGTTTGAAAAGGATTTGGCCAGGCCTATGTCTTACCAGAATGACTGGAAAAACTCCTGTTACAGTTATGTTGTCTTTCTGAATTTGCAGTGTGACGGTGAGGACAAGAAGAGAAGTGGCTGCCTATCTAATGGAATTATTTTGGCACTAGCACACCAGTACTAGATTCACAACTCTCTTTAACTCCTGAAATTTTCCTAGAATTATAATGACCCTATATAAAGCCTCCTGCTTTACCTCCCAGTCCTAACTGGGGACTAACTTTCTCCCTGCATGCTTCCCCACCACAAATTGCTCCCTGTGTTGTTACATTTCTTAATGCAGTTATTCTCAGCCTTTGCTAAACACTGGAATCACCTGGGGAACTTTAAAAAATCCTGAAGTCCGGGTCCTATCCCCAGAGATTCCAACTTAATTGTCTTCCAGTGTGGCCCAGACAATTGGATTCTTAAAAGCTCCCTAGGTGACCCACATATAGCCAGGATTGAGAACCACAGGCCTCCAGACTCTGTTTTCCAGATTAACAACAACAACCACCATCACAACAACAAAAATCGAATTTTAGGAACCCAAACTATGAAGGTTAAAAGTGAAGGCCCCAGGGCTTCTCTTCTTTTACAGGTGACATTACTGAACAGCAGTAGCCTTTTGAAGAACAAATGCTGCTGCTTGTCATCTCTACAATACTGCCAGATCCAAACAAAGGCAAGAGAACAGAGAAGGTAATATCTTGGGAAAGGTAGGACCCTATATGCTAACAGCATGGGGACACCTTCCTTTAAAACTAAATTTGTCAGAAGCAAATTTGTGTATGCAAAGCAGAAGTTTCAGGAGGTGAGTTCCCACTCTGTCCTAACTGTCTACAGATTATCTCTCCTAGGCATGCAAAAGGAGCCATCACGTAGCACCTCTGCTCTTCAGGAAGCTCACTGGAAAGGAGGTGGACAGAACCTTCCACACTTGCAACTCAAAATGTGCTCTATGGCCAGCAGCCTTCAACTTCGTCTAGTAGCTTCTTAGAAATTTAGTATTTGCTGGGGCTGGGGTTGTGGCTCAGTGGTAGAGTGCTCGCCTAGAAATTTAGTATTTGGGGCCCCCTTCCAGACCTATTCAGTAAGAATCTGCATTTTAAGAAGATGCCCATGCAATATGCAATTCAAAGTTCGACAAGCATTGGTTCATAGGACTCCAGGTAATGCAACGCGCCTAATTCTTTCGAACACCCGAGGCCCAAATGGAGGCAGTCACTTATTTCTCCTCCCGGAGTGGATAGTCTTGTGGTGAGTGGTGGAGAAGCTTGGCAGGACAAGGTGCAGACTAGGTCCAGGGCGGTTCCTCCCGCGCCACGCCTCACTCCTGGGTCTCAGCGGGACGCGCTGTTGCTGTGGCAGCGCACGGACGCAGCAAGAGCAGTGGCTGCTGTGTTCTCCTCCTCTTACTCCAAAGGCCTCCCTGGACCCCAAACTCGGGCCCAGCCTCGGCTCCTCCATGCCACGGAGGAGACGTCAGAGCCGGGTGAGCGCCCAGGAGGGCGGCCGGGAGGAAGAGGCGCCCCCGGAGGTGTCAACCTTGCCCTCAGCGCAGTCGCAGCCCCCACAGAAGTTCCAAGAGACCGCCGATCCGGTTTTGCTCCGGGGCATCTTCGAGATCGGGAGGGGCAGCTGCGACGTGGTACTGAGCCAACGGGCCCTGAAGTGGTGGCCCATTCAGCCCGAGCGCCCGGCGGGTGAGTGCCAGTCCCGGTGCCACAGTCTCCCAGGCGGCGTAGTCTCGGGTGCTTCTGCCCCGCCTCCTCTTCGCTCCTCTTGCCTCCCTCCTCCTGCTGTGCCCCGGTAGGCTACAGTGTCCTCGACAGCGCTTCCTCCCTCCCAACTGGGGAAATGTGTGCAACTCCCCTGTCTCCACCAGCTAGGCTTTCCCTTCCCAGGCCACTTCCCGACAGACGTCATGCTCAGTTCCTGCAGAGCGCAGAGAAACTTGAACCCGCAAGGGGAAGTGATTTACAAGTGGTGGGGGGAGGTGATTTACAAGGGGGGAGGACGCCAACTACTCCACCCCACCAAATTGACGCTTCAGTCCAACTTCTGAAGGTACACTAATAGTATAAACCGTTCACAAAGTGTCTAATACATGGGTTCTGAGTCCAACTCTCATTTTAATGTCTCATAACCCCAATATTTTGGGGTTCCGGGATTTGCCCACCCTCACATTGGTTGCCACTGTGGAGCTTGTTCAGGCTGTCTAGAAACTCGATTTGGGGTGTTAACTCAAAATCTGGTTTCCTTGGATTTGCCCTTACTCATTTAAAATTTTAGTGCTATAATACTGCAGTTTACAATAGAAATATTTCAAGTCTTAACCCAGAGATGACTCAGTAGAAAACGTTGGAATTCGACACATAAGCCTGTTTTAGTTAAGTACAACACTACAAAAATTTTTAAAAATTGCCTTTCCCTATTGGTAAACTAGACATCATGGGCTGTTTATGTTATAGAAAGCAGCAGTCACTGTTCTAAAGTTTCTTGTTCAAAAGTCTAACAAAATGAAACCCTCTAGTTGGAACCCAGCATGGGTTGTGGGTGGGAATTCTGTATGTGCTGTCTGTCATGCCCCTTACTGAACTAAATCTATCTTTGACTTTGATTAAAATGTTTTCAGGTGTTTTGAAAACCAAAGTGATTTATTTTCTCCAACCTTTGAAGTTAAAAGCCAGCTGGATGACTATGGAATTATTCTGTGAGTCTTTAAGTTAGCTTAAGTTATGTGATATAGAAGTTTATAATCAGAACCCTAAGAGCCAATTTAACCTACAGTAAAGCTGAAATACTATAGAATTAGAATTAGACATTGTGTGATGAGAAACCATACAAATCAATGTTTCAGTGCTGGTACATGGAAAAGCAAATAATGACATGAAAAAAGAAATGTCATTTTATATTGAGTGGTGATTGAGGAAAGATAGGTTTAATTAGTTCTCCTGGTAATGGAGTTTAAAAAGACAACTTGACAGTTTCATAACTCTAAAGGTTCCAATACTGATTCTTTAGTTTCACCTGAAAACCTTTTGGTTTTCTTTCCTTTATATGAGTGTACTACTTTTTCTTTGTAATTAATGCCTGGCTTTTAAACCACTTTGGGCCTCTAAATTTGGAGCCACAGAAGTTGAATTAATTTAAACTGAACAATGAAAACTAATGAATGAATTTGATTGGAACTGGTGAATTTGGTCAGAAAATGGAAGAGAAAACATATCAAAGTTATGGTACTTGGGAGGACATGGAATGATAGGATAAGGTGCAGGAGACCATGTCCATTGATGGTTGATGGGTGACTTGCTGTCCCAGGAAAGGATAGGATGAAGATGTAGAAAGGTCTCTGGGCATTATTAGATCAAACATATGAAATATTTTAAGTCCACCCAGTTTTAAACCTCATAGTGTCTTAGTTGTTTTCACTGAGATAAGATACCATGCAATCTTTTCCTGATTTCCTATCTTGAGCAATGTGAGCAAAGACACTGAAGTGTTTTATGAGGGCTATCACGGCCAAAATTGTGACTAATTGATGGTCTTGCTGGCAGAGTAAATGAGGATAACTATAGTGATTTATGTGCTCTTTATTGGGTTCAAGGGTAACTTGGAATAATGACTGTTACCCTTCCTCACAGAAGTGAGGCTTGTGTGGAGAGCATAAGTCAAGGTGGGAGGTTCAGAAGCATTAGCACTCATCTTTGGTATTATTTTTTAATGGAAGCAATGTTTTTAGTATATTAGTTCTAGTCAATGAATATGTTAACCTAATCAGCAGTTACTCTATTAATGGATATTTGGTACTTATGCTAAGGTGCTTTGCTAGATGCTGTGAAGATGAAAAATGATCTGGTATATTTTCCTTCAGGAAATTGTACTTTACAGGAAAGACATGTGACTCCAATAAAACCCTGTGTCACCAAACATTAGGAAACTAATAACTTTTTTTGTTAAGTGATATAAAGATCCGTAAGTTGTGGGCCCTGCCTCTAAGTATTTCAATGTGTTTAGAGGGGAGGAATATGTTTTTGACAGGACTCTGATCGTGCAGAAACAATTTGCTGTTTAAGTCACTACTCTCCCCCTCAAAAAAAATAGCTGAAAACTGTTTCATGAAGGGTTGTGGTTTTGTATTATTTTCCTAGGGTTGTAGTAACAAATCAGTACAAATTTGGTGGCTTAAAATGCAGGACTGTATTTTTTTTTCATAGTTTTGGAGGCTACAAGTCATTTAAGATGTCATTAGGGAGCTGGGTGCAGCTTGGGTTAAGTGCTTGTTTGGCGTGTGTGAGGCCTGTTTTCCATGTCCACCCTCCTTCTGAAAGCTTGAGTGGGTCCTCCTTTGCCTCCTTCAGTTCTGGTGGCTTCTGGTATTCCTCAGCTTGTGGCAGCGGAACTGTTGGCTGTGTCTTCACAAGGCCTTCCCCTCCTTCTCTGCATGCCCTATTTGTAAAGGCAGAAATTATTGAATTTAAGATTACCCTAAACCCACAGTGATCTCATCTTAAAATCCTTGATTACATGGCAAAGACTTTCTTTCCCAATATGGTCATATCCTGAGGTCCAACTGCATTGGAGTTTTGGGGAACACTTTTCAATGTAGTAAAAATATGTAAAGGGTGTGGGAGAAAAATTTTAGGTTGAAGTAATAAAGGAAGAAAATAAATGGCTGTCTTCTGGGAATAGTGACTGATAGAGCCTGTCAAAGTATAGGAGTAAGAGAATATTTCACGGGCAAATAGACGCCTGAAGACACAGGTAAGAAGTTTGAGTTTTATTTAGTTCGAAGTGTGAAGTTTTCTCCTGATTTTTCTTCTATGTTTATCAAAAACTTTTATCTGAGTCTTTATCCCAATTCCTGCCATTGCTGATGGCCATTGCTCTCTGACCTTCTAGATCTCTTCCCTTTTGGTGACTTTCACCTTCAATCCAGTTTGCCACCTGGCTCCATCTTCCCTGGGACATGGATCAGCCCTCTGTGCAGCAATACCACTAGTCAACCTAGTAGGCATGGGTGATTGTCATCTCTCTTCAAAGCCAGTCCATCCCATCTCTCCCACCTTTTCTAGGCAGTTGGTTGTCTCCTGTCTTGTGCCCTCCTTCTTAGGTCTGCAGCCTTTTTTCTCCTCTAGCTCTTTTACCTCCCATTTTGACCTTCCCTACCTTGATCTTCTAAATTCCTCTAGCTGATGCTCTGCCCCTTCTCACTTGCTTTGAAAAAAAAATGGTTTATTCTCACTGCCTCTTACCTATTCCTCTACCATCTGAGACCTGGTCTCCTTCAATCAAATGGGAAATTTCAGGTTCCACCTATTTGGATTTTTACTTCATTTAACTTTGACTCGGCTCTCTCAGATCTGTGACACCAGGAGCACCACACTTATTGGTTTCAGATGGGATTTCTTTCTGTCTGCTTGTCAAATGTGGCATTACCAATGAATTTGGTCCGATCTGGTTAATTGTGTACTTTCTGATTTGTGTTGCCCAAAATTCTCAACTACCATTAATTATCATCAGAAACACTATAAATTTTGTATATCCATAAGAAAAACAACTTTTCTTGCTCTTGGTCTTGTTCTCTATCAAGAATATGGAAGTTAGTAATTAGTTGTCAGTATATTTAACTTTGTTTCTCAGGTGTATGTAAGTTGTGGTGGAATGTTTAGATGGAGAACTAGAATTTCTTATACCTTACATTGGAATCATGGGATTCCATATAGAAGTAATAAATACTTTGGCTTAATATGTAAAGGACTGATTAGGCAGCCACCTAGAATCTAAATGAGGATTTCAAAGGTAACCCCAGCTTGGATGTCCCTCACTTACTACTTCAATCAATCACCAATCCTGCTTCTTCTGTTTGCTAAGTGTTTCTCACATATACCTTCCTTTTCTGTCCAGTCAATCATAACCTTAGCTCAGGCCTTATGATCTCACTTGACCTCTTCCTTTACCTCCCTTGAGCTTGTGCTTAAATGTTCCTGGTTCCTTTTACTGCCTTACATTATTTTGATGACATTTATACCCTCATATATGATATGATTTCTATTGTCTGTCCTCCCCATGACCACCCACTTCAAGAGGACAGGATTTTTTGTCTATTATTGACTATCCTAATAAGAAACAAATGACATTTCATATTAGGGTGACTTGAAGAGTTTTTAAAAGGTAGTTCAGTATTTATTCTTCCCTTATCTGAGTTTTTTTTTCCAATGGCTTCAGTTACTCATAAAAATACTAAATGGAGAATTCCATAAAAGATTCATAAGTTTTAAATTGTGTGCTGTTTTGAGGAGTGTGATAAATCACGTGACACCAGCTCCATCTTCCCTGGGACATGGATCATCCCTCTGTGCAGCATATTCCTGCTGTGCATGCTGTCTAGCCAGCAGTCATTCAGTAGCTGTCTTGGTTATTAGTAGTATTGACTAGTAGTATTGAATAGTAGTATTGCAGTGCTTGTACATAGGGTTCAGGATTATCTGCAGTTTTAGGTATTTGCTGGGGATCTTGGAACATATTCCCCATGGGTAAAGGGGAATGACTGTATTTTTAAAGGTGTAGGAAGAATGTAAGAATCTTGAAATACTCTTGGGATTAGTGATAAATGGGCAAGTAATACCATTTGTAGGCCCAAAATTGTAAACTGAGGGAGCAGGTGCTTGAGCCTGGATTCAGAGACCATGTGGAGGAAGTT